CTATTCTGAAAAAAAAAATAGCAAGCCGTTATTACGATTTTTGTGATTTCTGTGTCTTCTTGTTGAAAAGATTGAGTCTGGCTTTTTTGATCGACAAAAAGTTAGAAATATGGCATACATAAAAATCCAAAAACGTTATAGCATCAATTCAGAGACAAAAATGAGAATTTGATTTTATCAATTCTGCATTTTTACTTGAAAAAAAAAGCGTATCCCACAATTCTCACAAATGAATTTGTAATGCAGAAAAACATAATAGCAAAAAATAAAAAGGGCTTTCTTTTTGCAAAAATCAGATTTCATTTTATGATTCAAGATTTCAGCTTTTAAGTCTTCAATAACAGTGAGTCGTTATACTGTTAAGCTTTATTGGGTTGGTTTTTATTCGTGTTGATAAAGAACAGACACAGACCTGTCAGAAAATTGATGGTAAGTTTTTCTGCCAAAATAAGCTAACCATTTAAATCAGATTAAAACTGGGTTATTTTTAGCCCATTCAACCAAATTAGTAAAAAAAACATTGATTCACGAGCACAATATCTTTCGTGCCGAATATAAACCTTGTGGCGCAAAAAGGAGCAAGTTGTCGCAACTTTCCGATGCTGTATGTGTTTTATATTTTCTAAACTTCAAACCTAGATTGGTTGTCTCAGGTCAAATTTTCACTTGTGTGACTAATTTTTCTAGTTTAGAATGTAGTTTAAAAGAAGTTCGAAAAAAAGAACCTCATTTTAGGTTTTTTTATCCGAGTTTTGCAAAGCAAGTTTAATCAGACTTGTTGGTGAAAAATTCTAAGCAGTTTTTTCGGTAACCACTTTAAACAAAGTTTAATTTGAGTTTTAGAAAAACGCGTTTAAAGTTTCAAGTTTTGTCAATTTTATCCAGATTAATTGGGGAATCTTTGTAAAAAATCAACAATTTAAAGCAAAAAAATACTTCAAAAAAAACTCAAGTTTCAGCTGGCTCAATATTACGTAATGTTTGAAACATGCAGTATGAACTTCTGTTTATATTTTTACTGAAGATTTCATTAAGTTGACTGTATATGTTCAAGCCCTTCCAAGCCTCTACTGTATTTGCCATGGGGCCTAGGAACTTAGAAGATCGTAAAGAAACGGAATTTACGGACAACCAGTATTTACTCAGCCAAAATTTAATTTAGGCCTGTAAACAAATTTCACGCAATTTCACGCAAGTTATTGTCTAAATTCCGTTATTTTCTGATCGTCTAATTTGCTTGTCGTCTAATTTCCTAAGCCCCATTTGCCATCATTTGGTGTTTCTTCAGTGTACATTATTTATATGCATCTAACGTACCATTAATTAGTTTTGCTTCCAAGATTTGCGTTAAAGTTACAGAGTACCTCAAATTCACTCGTTTTCGGTGGACAAAAACGCCTTAAAAATTACCCAAGAAATTATTTTTGACATTTTTAAAACAAAAAAGCTATGTTTTGATTGTGTTAATAAAATTCAAAATTCCAAGCAGCTTGACAAAGGGTGAAATATTTTTATAAATGGTACGTTCTCCAACTGATGCAGAAGATATTAAATTCTCTCCTGCAACAAAATGCAAAAAAAATACATTTAATATGTTATTGAGTGTTAGCATCAATGTTGCAAACAGACCATAAACAGAACCTAAGTGAGTAGAACCTAAGTGGCGGTTATAACCCACTTACCAGTTTAGGTGCCGATTGGGCGCTAATAAGTCTCAAAAAATTAGATAAGTATCCAGAAACAGGCCAAAAGGAGTGTTATGAGCAGACTAGAAAGTGAAATAAAATTAGTTAATGAGGGAAAGTGTGAACAAGTATGGCGATGGTGAAAGAACAAAGGAAGTTATTGACCATAAACACAAATACGATCAAAAATAGAATCAAAAAAGGAGAAGACTGCGTAAGGTGCAGAGTAGGTTATAGAAGGACGACAGGGAAGATGCTAATATCTTCTCATCAAAAAAGAGGACAAATATTGGCACAACTTTTTATGACTTCCACTAGCAGTCGAGAAGCCTGCAGTTGTAATACTAAGATAACTGCTATAAGACAAAAATTGAACGCTAAAAAGCATAGATAATGGTATCACAAACACATGTGTATTCAGGTTCTGGGCCAGGATTATCTGTATTTTATCTGTCATATACAATCTACAGTGGGGTGAAGAGAGATAGAGTTTTTGATAGTAGTAAGTAGTGCTAGTTGTTACCTTTCATTTCATTTCGTCTCATTCAAAACTATTTTCATTTTAGACGCAATTTGAGGACTTGAATTCCCAAGACGAAGTTATGAATCTACCATTTTAATGACGTAATACAAGGGTAGGAGCCAATCTCCAAATCCAAAGTCAACCAAAGACTCATCTTATTTCCCCCTGCCTTCCATACCTGCCTTCCAATGCCATAAATAAGATTCCTTATTCTGTTTGTTTGTTTGTGCTTATACATCATTGATTTATCTGCAAGTTGACTAAAGCAATGGTCACTGCAGTTGACTTAATAAAAAATTGATAGCGTAACAATATTTGCAATCTGATAAATTACTTTTGTTTTTTTGAGACTATAATTCCTCCTTAATGAAAAGAAAAAACAAAGTTAGGTCTGCCCTCTGGAGCCGGTGACTTCCGCTGTTTCTCGCCCTAGTGTATATTCAGCTAGTCTTCCTTCACGCTTGGGTGAAAGTGATCTAATAGTAGCTACTGGAGAGAAAAGTTAGGAAGAAGTTGTTATTCATTCCACTGAGACCCAAATAATTGGAGCAAACCGTGTAAGGTAGTAGAAAAATATAATCTACTTAACTATATCCCTTCTATTATAGTTGGACGAGGGGATTCTTAAGCAGGTATTATGAGTGGAAATTAAAAGGTCAACCAAAAACAGACGGTTTTCAAAGTTGAAAATTACATGACGAAAAAAAAACAACAGATTAATTTCTAAACTCTAACAAAAAATTGGTTAGGTGTTTGGTATTAAGAAAAGCGTCTGCTAAGTACTTTGCACAATAAGCCGGACATATACACTAAAAGGGTATTTGAACGAGCAATTTGGGCTCATCTTATACATTTCCTATCTTTTTGTAAGAATTACCAGCAGCTTTATTTGGCCTCAGATAGAAGAAAAGTGGAGACCTTGGAAACAGTTGGAAGTTAGACGTTAAATATCAATATCGAGGCAAAATAGAAGAGGTTGTTCTTCACATTATTTGCAGAGAAGAGACTGCATAAGAGATAAGACTTGCATACCAGGAATAAGCCCCGAGTGTCACTTAACTGAATTATCTTAACCCATTTTTGTTTCGAGAAACGATAGCAAAGTAGATCTCAAAGGAGGCGAGCATCTAAAATTTTCATAAGGGGGATTTAAAAAATAATAATAATTGTTTTGTCGACATTTTTGGTGAAACTTGCAAAAAATTCAAAATTTGCCCTCATTCTTCAAATTTAGTATACATTGGTGTCTTAAGATGTTCTAGAAAAAAAATCAAATGCTTTATGCGTCCAGAAGTTTCCTTTTTGAGGGAGAAGTGTCCCGAAAAACGCTATTGTATCAAAAAGTTTTTAAAAATCAGCCGCTTTTATTTTATCGTTATTTGTTGATCGATATTTGAAAAAATACTGAAAAAATTCTTCAGTGGACAAAAAATCGAAAGAAAATTTTTGCTCTTGAGTCGAATTTAGACAAGAGTCACTACTCATAAAGATTTATTTTAGCTTAAGCTCCAATATTATTTTTAATTAGTCATTAAAGGTATTGGTAGTTTGTACATAAACAAAAAAAAACGATAGAATTTGCCAAAAAACAGATGAAAAAGTCTCAATGAACTCAAGGAGACTAAGAAAGTAAAAAAAAAATTCAAGTCTTAATTAAAAGTGCATGTACAAAACAGTCCCATATAAAACAGTCCCATACAAAACAGTCCAAAACAAAATAGTCCCAAGAATCATCTAAAAATTGAAATCCACTTTCGAAACTGGAAATTGTTCGTTCTTTGCGCCATTTGTTGCTACTGCAAAGCGTTGTTTGCCCTCCGATAAGAAAATGAAATTCGGTTGAATTTAAAATGCGCATATATACAAAAGAGCAGTAAAATAGATGAATCTACTTTTGCACTTTAAAACAAAATGCAACAATTTTCATACAAAGGCGAAGCTTCGCTTCGCAAAGAAAAGCGAGAGCACGACAAAAACGCAGCTCTATAAAGTGCAATAGAAAAAAGTAGAAATAAGTATCGAATTAGTAAGAATTTGGCTAGGGCTCGACCTTGATCTGCAATTTAGATATCATGAATCTCGCGCTCTATGCACTCAGCCACTGAAGATTAATATGTTAACAACATCAGTCTCATATAAAGCAGAGATTAGATGCTATAAAATTTCCAATGCTACAGATCGTGATTATAGCAAAATTGCCAGCAAATAAGTGAACAATTTCCACCTCTAATGAAAACTTTTATTTGCGAGCTAGCTTAGAAAAAACGAGGTTTGTACTAAAACACTACGCTGATTGCAAGTGTAATAACGCATTGATAAAACCGATACTTAAATCACAAAGAGGAAGAAGGAAAAGTTATAAAGAAACTTCTAAAAAAAACTTTCAAAAAGGTTTCCTGTTTCGAATGCTTAATATTTGATTAAAAACCCTATTTATGGACAAAATATGGCACTTTTCCAGTTTCTCACCCCCCTCGTAAAATTACAAAATTAAGCTGTTCAAAAATTGTTAAATCGGCATTTTGTAAAAATCGGCATTTGTGAAAATTTGTTCACCTGTTCACACTGACACGTTTTGATGCAGTTTATAGCATGAAAAGTAATTTTAAATATACTTTCATATAATGAATTTCAGAAAAAAACCAAAGGGGGAACTGGAAAAAAGCCCAGAACATTCTCTGCTACATGTGTACCGGCTTCTTTACTTGAATTTTTCTTCACAGTCAAAGTCAACCAATGGCTTTTTTTTATTTTTATTTATGAAACACGTCCTTCAATACCTGAAAACTCTATGTTTGTGACATTTAGAATTCAATTTCTCAATTTTATGTACATTATACATTTATATACAGTTGCATTCTCATCCATTAAGTGATCAATTTGTTGTTTGATAAATATTTTCAATGTAAGCCTCGAATTGGCCATCAAATTTTTTTTGTCATTGTTCAGGAATGTGCTCTAGTGTTGTGGTTTCTGGTGATTCTAGTATGGTTTAGTCGTGCATCTCAGACCCCTCAAAGCCCATCGAGAGGCGGGCACTTTTTCCCTCTTGATGTTGATATGGAACAGGGGCTCCTGATTCCGCTCATTCTCGCTAATGTACACTGGGCACCTAAAAAATTACAGTTTGTTGTTTCGTCTATAAAAATTTAAGATCTCTTGATTTTCATAGAGGGTAGAAAATGAACAATTAAACTTCAGAGTGCAAACTATTTAATGCAATGGCAGAAGGCGCTGAAATTTTTAATTCATTTAGAAATCAGTTTTAAAAAGTATGAACTACAATTTTTTACATTTTGGCGAGAAAAAATGTGTTAAACTGTTTTGTGAAACTAATGCTTTGCATTACTAAAGTTCACTCGGTAATCTAAAATCAGAGCGGTTCCAATTACAAGTTTCCGGACAGATTTCTCAAACAAACTTATAATATTTTTGAGAAGTACCGTGTTAAGACATTTTCAATCGGAATAAAATGATAGTTATTAACATTCCTGGAGCAAATTTTTCCTGCATTTGTCATTCCTAGATCAACTTTTTTTCCTCCACCCCTCCCCCACCTCACATAAGCCATCAATTTTATCGTCTAATGAGGAGTTTCAAAATGTCAATTATGAAGACTAAATGCGTTTGTCATGGCCTAATTAGCCGTCATGCCAATTTTCGTAACAATCGGACAATGCAAACTGAAACAATACTTATAAGAGATCGCAGGTAGGGGGATGAAAAAGAGCCCCTAGATCTACGCCAATGATAGCAGTGTAAAATTTGTTTTAAAACCAGCCCTAATTTGTTCCTTAATTTTTCTAGGCTTTTCTAAGCGGAGTAAATGACTCGATGGGCTGCGTAGTCCGATTCTGTTTACATAGTTTATATACTTTTGTTTTTTTTGTGCCCGAATCGGAGTCTCAGACTCGTTTCCAGACTTTGAAAGACGCGCTGCATCAGAAGCCAGACTCAAATTTCATAGTCTCTCCAAGAGTTTGAGTCTGGAAAGTTTGTGGACATGAGCAACAAAAATCGCGCCGTAGGTCGCCAAAGTCTTGACACACCAAAACTTGGTTGCAAAAGTCTGGACATGAAGTCATAAAATGATTAGAATAATTCCTTTTTTTTCTATACCTGTATATGTCTTCAGGAGGTGGTTTGTCTGCCCTGGGAGTGGCCACTAAATGTACGACTGGGAGGGGACAGTGTCCCTTGGGGGAGGCTGGCTCGTCCATCAGTTCCATGTTGCTCTTCTCCCATCTGCACCCCCACATGAACAGACTGTGCATGAACATGCCATCCGGAGGGGGATCACGCAGCTGAAAAGTCATGCGTGCACTTTACTCAAATAATTTGAAGTACAAGACAGAAAGCTCAACTTCAGCAAAACGGTCACTTTAATACAAATATTATATCCAATTTACATTATATCCAATTTATTACGAATATTGTATCGAATAATATATCCAATTTAATACGGATATTATAAAGAAATTAATTAACAAAAATTAACCAATTATTCTAAACAAAGGCTTAGTTTCTATTCGTTCGGAACCCTTTGAAACAATCAGTTTCACCTTCCGAGAAGGGGGATTTGGGGTTGGTTGAGCTCTTGTTTGAAAATGCCGCAAGTTGTTACGTGGTCTTTGTCTCTGCCGGTGATTTCTGTCCTGAACACCAATTGTTCTACTTGTCCTGCCGCCTCACTGTAGTTCTTGAGCAGCTCCTGCTTCAGACAGGCCAGAAGACCACGTGGGTTGTAGAGCCCACCCAGCCAATAAGCCGGACACTTCTCACGGCCCTGCAAAATAGACAATATGGGATAGTAGTAACCGAAAACTGAAAAATTTAAGTGAGACCAATTTTTTGCGATTGAAAGAGGTTAACTTGGTAGATCCTAGTGTCAATTTAGTTTGCGACAGATTGTGCGCAAAATTCAGACTGTTAAACTTTGAGCAAACATATTTATTTTCTCTCAAACTCGCTCAACGCCTACAATCGATGCCTACTTGAAGAGATTTCTCGATATTCATGATGTAAGAACTAGCAAAAATAAAAGTCAAATGTGTATAAATTGTATTAGAATCACTAGTTCAAAGGGTTAAAAGCATCTGATGCAAATCTTTAACATATATTACTGGCAATAAGTTAATTGCATCGTGACACGCACCTGCTGTAACATCCTCTCCAGCTGCTGTGCTCTGGCAGACAGATCCCCAATCCACTGGGGCAAACTCCACTGGCCCTCGGCCGGACCCCTCTCCCACCCAGAGGCCAACTTGAGCCACACCTTGGGTATCTTGCCCATGTGCAGATCCATAGCCACACTCTTAATCGTGTCGTTTAGAGTGTCTCCCAGGACTTTGGTGGGATCCTCAATTGCGTTTTTGACCAACTAGACAAAAAATAATTAAGTTTTAATAATTAGTTTTTAGTAAAAACTCAGCTAAGTAAAGTTTAATTGAAATAGTGCTGATGAATGCAAATATGAAATTGTTCGATCATGTAGGTGAGGCTATGATCGTTCAGTGAAAGTTTGAGTTTGTAAACAACGGACCAAAAAAATTGAGTTTGTAGGAGATCAGACAAAAGTAAAAAATCTATTTTTCCAGCTGATTTTTCGAGTTCAGTTTTGAGTATTTAAATGTCTGTATTTGATACTTTTGACGTCGGTGGGAAACTGTAAAAGAATAAGAAAAATTTCAAAATGTTTAGAAAAAATCGCTGTTGATAACATTCTGTGGCGGTGGGCAAGGTTAAAAACAATTAAGATCGGTTGCGAACGGAATGATGCAAATCAAAATGCAATGAAGTGAGTATGATACGACCGACAATCTTTTATGTAATTTAGTTCACGCGCTAATTGTATGACGATGAAAAAAATGACTTTAAATCTACAGTGATTTCAAAAGTAGTTCACATTTATGTATACATTTTTAAAGCCACGAGGCAAACTCGGCGGTACTGCCGGACTCTGTGAGCCTCTAGGTGTGCTTTTATTGGCTGTCGAGTTGTTATTTGTGTTCGGAATTGTTTCGAGGTTGAGTGTCGTGTTACGACTGATGGGCGTGTGGTGCCCACCGAGTGACATTTTGTTGTCTCCGTCTTCGTCCGGGTCCGAATGCAGCAAATAGTACCAGCCTTCGTAAAGACGACGAATTTGCTGGAAGGCGAAATCAAATTACATTGGTTTAGTTGTGATTGAAAACTAATCAAGAAACATTAATAAGCAAAGCGTTGCCGAGATTGTATGTTTTATGCGTATGAAACACAGTTTGTCCCCACGTCAATCGATAGCATAGATGTTCCATTCTATTTTGGCGCCGTTTTGTTTAAATCGATGCAAAAACAGCCATTTGAGAATGATCAAAACCATTATCTTTCTGAATTCAAGGAGCCATCAAAGTTAATCGCCGCAATCGAAGAAGAAGAAATTTTTGGAAGTCGATAAGTTCGAAAAAAATTTAAAATTTTGAACTAAAACATTTTTTTAAAAATCAAGCAAAACAATGGTTCCGGTTGTGGTTAGAACATCTAATAATAATGATATGAAAAGCAAATACGGATCCACTATGCCACAACACTTCCAAAATTCTGAAAAAGGGGAACACATCAACAAGAATTAGATTTAAAACATCAAATTTTATTATTATGTCAAATCAGGGGCGGATTTAGGGGGGCGGACGCCTTTTCCCTCAGGGATTCGACCCCCTGCCGACCCAAAGGGTCCCCCCTTTGGTACTTTTAAGAAATCCAGTATTGGCCGACCAACCCTAAAATTTTTCTAAAGGCGCCTTTGGCGCCAATACATACTAAATTTAAGGGGGGAGCGCGCGCCGAAAAAATGCGATTTTTTTGGTCAAAATTTTCCAAAAGTACGTAAAAATGCCTTTTTGGACTGTTTTTTCAAAGTTTTGCCTGCGGCGCAGAAAATTTGGCCAAAATCTACCTAGAAAAAGGTGGACAAAAATTTCGTAAATTTTTTGAAAATCGCCCCCCCCCCCCCTCGAGAAAATCCTAGATCCGCCCCTGTGTCAAATCATAACTTTCCCCTTTCCCTCCAGCCCTACTACCTTGGCTTTTCTCTCCGCCAACGAGACACCCCAAAAGATATATCCTGTCGTAAACTTTTTTGAGTCACCCTGTTATCAGAAGGAATCGAATCCTTGATCTTTATCACGAAGGCATCATCTAGAGCAAGTTATTTAATAAGGACAAACTATTCTACTCATGTACTAGTAAAATAAATTAATTTGAATTGAAAAACAAAGATCAGAATGAAAAAGTTTTTTGACTTCAAACACTGCACAACTTCATATCCCTGAAGCAGAAAGAGTTATTTTCCAGTTTTGTATTTTATTTAACAAAATGATCTTCAGACCAGCTCTTTCACTAATAGTTAAATAAAAAATTTTAATTTTGAAAACAAAACTTTGGCTGAGGGAAACGTGACTACAACAACCAGAAATGGCACGCCATATTGATTCAATCTCCAGAAAATTATTTTTAAAATAGCAGTTGGGCTGAACTCGTGGTAATTCAAATTGACGCTGTTTACAATAATTCTAAATTTTGAGAATGCGAGGCAATTTTTTGGTACGACCTTGTATTTGAGTTCGAAATTATAGTCCAGTATGATGGCCTAACACGTGCAAGGAAGATCCACATAAATTTTCGATGTTTTTCATCAAAAATCGTTCATTTAAATTGAAAGCACTGAGTGTGTAGTTTGGTTGATCAGTGATGTCTAATTTTAAAGCAAGTTTATTTGCTACTAACCAGTCAACTAGTTTAATTAAATCACCTTGATTTTCGGAATATTGACATACGGAAGATTCACATTACATTCGTATCATAGAAGGAAAAAATTAGTCTTTCACACGCAGTTGTTAGATCATTCATATAGACAAGGAACACTGAAAGAGCTAAGATCGAACCTTGGATACCCTACAAATTTTGGGTTTCGAGGAAGCGATTGTACCAGAAATTTCTATATGTTGCTTTCATCACTCAGTTAATTTCTTAGACAATTAAAGCAATTACAAGTTTTAAAAAATACTTTTCACTTTGCTTTTTCCATGTCTTACTTTTCAAGTCACCTCCGCTATTACATTAGTTATTCTGTTTGTTTCATACCCGAAATTGAAAAGAATCAAAAAAAATTCAACACTTCGAAAATTGAACATAGGCAACTGACAGTTGGCAAAAAAGTAGAAAAAGGAAAAAGTTTTTTTTAAGAAACTTGAACTTTAAGACTTCGAAGAAAAAAATATTTATGTATACCCCTAAGACTCTCCAAAATTCAATAACAATTTAAGATTAGCGCTTTTTTTTGATAAAATTAACCCAATTTGATAAAAATGGATCAATAGGTAAGCTTTTAATTCCACTGGAAAATCTAAACAAAAAAATCCTTTTTCGAAACTAGAAACCGATCACGTGTTTCGTGACCCCTTACACTTTTGCTGTTTGATAGCGAATTTGCTTTCTGTTTGACAATCGCAATAAATTGAATTTAAAAAGAAATCAAGACAGGCCGAGAAAAAAAAACAAAATTGAGCTACTACTCTTAAATACTCATAGCTGCCAACAGACATTTGGAAAAGAGTAATGACCGAGTGTAAACAAAAAAAAATACTGACTTTGTTGAAAAAAAATCTCAACTTTCAAATTTCAAAGAAAACAATAGATGCCCTTTAAGCTCTTTGAACTTTTAGAAAAAATTATGATTGGTTAACTCAACTCAAAAGACTAGATCAATAGGCAAAGTGTTTATTCCGCTAGAAATCAAAAAACTAAATACCACTTTCGAAACTAGAAATCATTCGAGTTTTTTTTGCGCCATTTCCACGTTTGTATTTGGAAAAGACTATTTACGTTACTTTCAATAGATGAATTTCAATTGAACTCCAAAAATGCATATAATCCAAAGTGCATTCATAAATGTATTAATATGTATGAATTCAAATCTGAAGTTTTAGAGCATTTTAAAACTTTTTGCTGAAAAAAAACTTAAAAAAATCACTAAGACCTATAGAAGAGTCTTCACTACTTTCATAACTCTTTAAAAAAACTATTTTATGCCAAAAAATTAAATTTGCTCGATATTGATTTTTCTAGAGTAGCTTGAGCCAACCATATGCGATTAAAAAACATTTAGCCTTTGACATTTTACCAAGAAATTTGCAGCCCTATGGAATACATACTTACGAATTCAGGAAGCACTATGTGTAATTAGATTTGCCGATGTTTTGATCATCAGTTTAGCTCTTAAAGAAGTTTTCCTTGGCGAATTATCGATGCAGTCTAGTTCTCCTTGCGAATACGTGTTTCGCAAAAACTGTTTGTTTGTTTCAGGAGAAATGATTTGTTCCTGTTGAACAAAATATTACCCGAACATTTACAGCCATGTTAACAAAAAAATTATTTAATTTCTCAACGAGTGATTTTGATCATAAAAATTTGCCCTAATGGAATATGAACCTAACCTTGGAAACAATAATCAATTTGGTTCCTTACCTTCAGGCGCATTAAGAAGTTAATTAATCCGACCACTGAAAATGTGGAGAAAGTTTGTTGCATTCGGGTGTGTTTTAGTTTTTTCTTTTTTTTTGTTTTGCAAGCAAAATCAGCTACCACCCACAAATAATCATCTGAATCGTTCGTGTGATATATCATAACAAAGCCATTTCAGTCGTGATTCGAACGAAATTTTTAAATTAAAAAAAAATTACTGTTTTGAAATTTTTGATTTTTGGTCTAATTTCGAGCGAATAAGTTGAGTGGGCAGGCTTTAATTGTTTTTCAACGAAAATCATTTACCACAAAAATTCATCGCACTGGGTGATGTGATTTATCATATTAAGGCCCTTTTTAGTCCTGATTGACATTTAAAAAGTTTCAAAAAATTTTCCTAGTTTCGAGAAAAACCGGTCTGAAATTTTTGCTTTTTTGTCCATTTTCAAGCAAGTAAAGCAAGCGAACAGGCTCACAATAGCTTATTTAATAGCGCGATAGCTTACAATAGCTTTTCTTAAGCCGTGAAAACCGGCTATCTCAAATGGTTTATAGATTTGTCTGGAGTCTCCGATGCAATTAGTGAATATCATAAAAGAGAGCGGTTTCTTTGCACCTTTTTGATGTCTTTAACTTTTTTTTCTGGAAGGCCTATTTGTTTCACAGTTATTGATATTACTTTCAACCTTGTTCCATATTTTCAAAAGATTTTTTCTCTGAGATCGTTAATTTTTCAACCCGTTTGAAAATTTAAGGCAATTTAAGAACTTTATATTTGCTATTATCTTTGATGTCTGTTTGAACCTTTTTCTTTTCCTTGCACTGAAAGATGTCGTTAATCGAAATCTATCGATTCAATTTTCATGAATTGTGTCTGGTTTTTTACTGACGAATGAATAGTACCTTGAGGTGTTCCTTGACAGTGTCTACAATTCGGAAAAGACATTCCATCTCCTTGAGGACGAAGCAGTTGAATGCACTGTATCCTCCTCTTCTCTTGACCAGATCCTGCACCACTTCCTACACACAAAAAGCATAACAATAAGACAAACATACAAAACACTCACTCGGGAAAAGTTATTCCAAAGCACAGAAAATAATGGTTACATTGAGGCAGTTACAGAGAACATTTAGAAATCAGAATAATTCACGTTTGTAGTTTGAGAACAGGTATATTTTTTTGCAAGATTTCATATGAAACTTAATGCGAACATTTATTTCAGGTTCAAAATTTGCATAATACACTAACGCTTGCAAGCTCGCTAGTGTAAACAGAAAAAGTCAGTAGAACTAGAAACTGGTTTGTTTCTAGAAGACCATATACTTACGTCACTAGGTGGCTTTGGAAGTTTGTTTATAACAGAGTGTACCATCTCAAACAACTCAGCTGCCCTTCTAGCTCGAAGGAGACTCCTAGAAGCACTAGCAAACACACCCTGCTCCAGAATGTGCGACTGACCGCATGGCTGATTCACAGCTAGAAGAGAGCCACCTGAAAGTGAGAACTTTTAGAAGCAATAGTTGAGAGGCTTAGTCTCCACTTCTCAATCGAAAGGCCAGTGGTTCGAATCCCACCACGATATGTGCTCCTTCAAGTTGCCTGAGGGCGATGCAGCATTACATAGCCCAGAAAAGTAACCAAAAGTTTTGTATGCAATTCAATTCGGATCTCTCGGCATGCATTTCTCTGTAAAGAGCCGAAAACCTCTTATGTCGGTCGTTTCCAAAATGGATAAATCGTCTTAATTAAAATTCAAGTTGTTTTGTCCGAAAACGTATATCAATCGGGTATAAAACTCATAGAGCAGGTTCCTATCAGTTTTTCCTCGCGAGAAACAATGTCCAAATACTGATTAAAAAACTTGTAACTTACTGTGCTCAGCTGGTGCAGGAGTCTGTTCCAACACATGCACTAGGGACTTGTTCTCCGGAGTGCAGTCCATCACCCTGTTCAGATTAGTCAGGATGTACTGCTCCTCCCCCTTGTACATCTGAAATAATTGTTTAATAGTGTCTAGAACTGATTGAACGGTGCAACCGCAGAGATTCTACAAATTTTAGACTTTAAAAGTGAGAACTGCAAAGTTAAATGTCGACAAAACATGGCAAAACATTCGTTATCGACTTTGAATTCAAATGCCGACCTTTATCGACCAATATCGACCACTCGATAAATACCGAGCTTTTGGTCACCCTGGTCAAATGGAAGCAAGGTTTGATTTCCAACTAAATCTTAGCTCAGCTCGTATGCTCAGGTTCGCTAAAAATCGGTTTCAAACAAGGCTGACTCACATCTAGGGTTGCGTTCATGCCTGCCAGGTCTGGGGCCTCGATGGACACTCCGGAAAGGAAGTTGTTGAGGGCGAGGGTGATGGTGCCTATCTTGGGGTTGGACGAGAAGAAGGGCGAGGGTATTTTGTACTTCACTAAAAAGAAAACATTCTCAAAAATTAAATAACTTGAGCATAAATTGAGCCAATGCGCAAATGATTGATTATAATAGAAAGATCATTTGAGAGATAAGAAAGAAGAGCGTATACGCTAGGTTCACACTTTCATTTACATACCAACCAGAATTCAGAAAAAAGTCAAAACGATATCAGTGTGACATCTTCAGTATCTATTTCTAGAGGCCTATTTTCAGCCACCAAAATAGACAAATAATAGAAAAAATCTTTATAATGCACACCATTCAGTCAGTCGATCTAAATCTCAACAAGAACCCCACGACACGACCCCTTGAGGGGGAAAACAGAAATGGGGGTTCGAGAACCCCTTCCCCACGACTTTCATGCAAAAGTGTTCATTCCTCTATCTACAATCTGTTCCAGTGCTTCGGCTAGGCTTACTTATGAGCTGGATATATGGGTTGTTTGTCTCGTGGTAGCCGATATAGTAATCCGACTCCGTGTCGGCGTCCCAGTCTCCGCCATAGTCACTCAGTTTTGCTGATTTAACTAACATGAACTGCTGTTTTCAAATGCGCACTTGTGCGAAATACATTCAAATCAATCAACATCAGTCCTTAAAATGTTAAGGTCTAGCGTATAAGTATGTCTAGGTCAACAAAAGCTTGTGCTGAGCTGTTCAATTTGAAAATGTAAAGATGACTTGAGAACAAAATGACAATTGGAAAATTTGGGTTTTATTCTCAAAATCTACATTCAACACTTTTTGAACTTTTAGTTCAATTGTGGGTGTGAGTGAATAAGAAAACGGCATAAAATACAATTCAATTAGTCTGCAGACAATTGGGTTAAAAAACACAGAATAATAAATCACAGAAAATTCGGCTAACTTTCCAATGGGGTTAATTCAGCAGAAGATCAAAAAAGGAAGTAAAACAAGTTCAAACACAATTTATTTCAAATTGATAACACACTTATTTCATAACGCCTTAATTTAGAAAAAAAATAGGATCAAATTGGCTGAACTGACATTGAATTGATTGTTTAAAGGTGAAAAAACCTTACTTTTTCCAAGGGTGTGCTCGTGGTCTTTCCTGAGGAGGAGGTTGCCGATCCACTGTTCACATATAGCATGCAGTCTCTCTCTGTCCTGGTTATTCGTAATATGAGCGCCATACACATTCTAAAACAGTAATTACTGGTCAAATCTTTTTCAGACAAACTATCGATGCTCCGATGAGTCAGCCAAAAAAGAGCAAAAGCATCACAGAACGCTTCATTCACTAGTTATTGCATTAGAAAATTTGGCGAAGAAAAGTAATTTTTTTCTTGAACTCAGTGCGCAGGTAAAAACAAGGACAGCTGGTTACTGTGCAAGCAGCACAGAATGTTCCGAACATAGTCATAAAAACACAATTTTTTCTTTCAAATTAGTGTGGTTTGATAGAAGTTAGTGCGTTTTTCTGCGTGGTGTGATATCTGAACAAAAAACTACAACTCATGCATATTCGACAGTCATAGTAAATTAGACAAACTGGACAAAAGTTTTTTGAAGAAAAATGACTAGAAAAACAAAAACTATCATAAAAAAATTGAAAAACTCAAAAAAAAATTTTCGTTTTTTTTTGCAGAAACTTAAAAGTTTTTGACCCAAATGGCGTCTCTCAAAGTCTTTTGATTCTCAAATTCCAAAAAGTAATTACACTCGAGTAAAACTAAAATTAAATGAATTACACTCGAGTAAAATTTAAATTAAACTAAAATAAACTTTTGTAAACGGCCTAAGCTAGCCATGCTCGCTCGATTTACTCGCTCGAAATTAGACAAAAAATCAAAAATTTCAAACCGGTTTTTCTCGACACTGGAAATTTTTTAAGGTAGCTTGAATCACGACTGAAATGGATTAATGATATATCATTTGACCCATTGCGATGATTATGTGTGGTACCTGATTTCGCGTTGAAAACAAAAAAAGAAAAAAATTTAAACACACCCCGAATACAAAGTTCTTCCACATTTTTCAAATGGTCGGAACAATTAGTGCGAAATTGGAAATAAAAACACATGTCGTTTTTGGGGCAATTATGAAGAACTAGTTTGACCTAAAACTGAGTCGAGTCGGTACTGCGATAATTAGTTTCATGTTCAAACCAAAGCAGATTATGGATGTTGTACCTCTGCGAGTAGTACCCTGACAGCCAGCCATGAGATGGTCTTCAGGTCACTCGGACCCCCATCTGCCGCCAGAAGCATGGCATCCCTGAACATACTACTGGCCAGCCACATACCTCGCTGCATTTGAGTCACAGTGCAGCTGAAATGGACAACTAAATTTAAAAACCCAAAAAGCAAGTCGAATACAGCGTGGGGTGTTGACCACAAAATGATTTAAATTACTTTTCGTTTTTTTTTTTAATTTGATCGTGGAGTTAGTTTTGAGATTGATAAAAAATTACATTTTGACTTGAGTATAAATATCGAGAGGGTGTTTAGAAAAGTAGATGAAATTGTATCGGCTCGTAAAGTCGAGCTATTTCTTTATCGTTCAACTTTGATGTTATTAGTTATTCCATGGGATTTTTTCGAACAAATTTTCTAAATAATCATAATCAACAAATTGTTCCCTTCTTGGAAACAAATTTAATATTTTTATTCATTAAAACTTTCATTGCTTATTGCATGACCATCAGGTTCCAAGTTAAACCTGTTTCTTAAATTGAGCTTCGAGATTTAAAAAAATAGACTTAAGAATCACCTCATGAGTTCGTGTTGTGCCCATCCTGACACACCGTACTGAGCCCTGAGGTTGATGAGTCCGTGGATGAGTGCTATGTTGTGCAGCACGGCAGGGTAGTCACTTCTGCCTCCCACCTTCAGGATGTCATTTGTCAGGTACATCGGCAGCGACATCATGTGTTCACGAAGGGTCTGAAACAGGGACGGAAAAGGACGGTGACAAAAATAAACGTAAGTAATTTGTTTATGGGCAATTTTTGAATAAGCATTTTTTCACAGTTTCAGAAACCAGTGTCCAGAAATAAATGTTGAAGGTTTAATCAAATGCTTTCGTTCTTTTGGCCTCTCAAAACAACTCAAATTGAAGTAAATATATATCAATTGGAACAATCAACTGCTTTAAATGCATGAACTTACTTTCATATAAGAAGTTGCAAGATTTTTTAAAATGTCAACTGTAATAAATGGGTTTTGAAAGCGTTTACTTTAGGTGGGTCACAGAATATCTTCATGGCATTGCGTCTGAATAGTCTGGGAACCTTCTCCGTCTCTGTCCAGTTGAGGGAGAGCCACAGCTGGAACTGACTTTGCACCCTCTCCACTGAGTCCAACAGGGAGTTTACAGTGAACAAGAAGTGCTGATTCATCTGGGCAGTCCCCACAAATACCCAGTCGCCCTGAACAAAATGAACAAAAACTAATTTTCTTCTATAATATTGAAGCAAACTTTTCAGTCGCGCTTTTATTCGTAATTAAAAACAGCAATGCTAAATAAAAATTAAAAGTGCAAAGAAAGTTAAATTACTCAAAGGCAACTTCACTGTCTGTCGTTTAGTTTATCATAGAGGCGACGCTTCACTTCGCAAACACTAGCGAGATCGCGACAAAAAAAAGCTCTATAAAAAGCAATAATAAAAAGTAGAAAAAAGCCTCGAATTAGTAAAAATTCGGTTACTTCTCGGATTTGAACCTACGACCTACTGCAACCTAGAAATTATGATCCTCACGCACTAAGAACTCAGCCAGGGACGCTTTATTAATGACAAACACTAGCCACAAACAAAGCAGAGAACAAATGCTATGCAATTTCCAGTGCTACAGTGAAATTTCCATAAAAAAGAACACTTTTAATTAACACTTTTATTTGCAGGTTAGAAAAAAAGGTTCGTACTAACACACTAGCTGCTCACTAGTGTAAATAAGAATGTTTCCCACTATAGTCCCAGCAACCGCTGATTATACTCCCAAAACAAACAATAGAAAAAACTTTTTTGTTGGAATTTGTTTTATCAGCCTCGCTAGACTGGTGGCGCTATAATAGGAAAATAACTTCACATATGGACAGATTTACGTTAATCGTTTATATGGACGTGTATCAGGTCATCAATAATATGAAATCGTTCATAGTCAAAAAATTTTACACAGAGGCGAAGCTGCGCTTCGCAAACAGTTGCTAGAACACAACCAAAAAGCAAGCGAAATAAGAAAAAGAAAGAAATACGCCTCGAATTAGCAAAAACTCGGCTACGTTTTGGATTCGCATCTGCAACCCGGTAAATTTGAGTCCCATACACTAACTACTCAGCAACGAATATTCAAAATTCCCAAAAACTAGCCACCAATAACGCAGCTACATGTGCTAATAAATTGCCAATTCGATGCAGCAAAAGTAGCTTCAAATACAAGAAGACACAATTCTGCATGTAATAAATTGGAAAGCATAAAGCCAAATCACGTATAATTTATGCATTTCAGAAAATTGCGAGATACATTGAGTTGCAAAATTCCCGAACTCGAGCTTGTTATCATTGTACTGCTGTTTGAAACAAATAACATTTTTTAGGTTCATTTGATGAATTAAAAATGCATCAGCTGTGTCAAATTTTTACTAATCAAATGTCAAAGCTTATATCATATTATACTGCTACCACAGCGTACCGATTCACACAGAGGGGAAGCTGCACTTCGCAAAAACTTGCGAGAATACGATCAAAAAGCAGCTCTAGAAAGTGCAATAAGAAAAACCGAAATAAGCTTGGATTAGCTAAAACTCGGTTAGGTCTAGGTTTCGATCAAGCGATTTTGAGTCTCACGCGCTATGCACTTACCACGCAAGCTTAACAACCGACAAAAACTAGTCACGAATATAGCAGCTACATATGCCTATAAAATGCCAATGCCAATCAGCAAAAGTGGCACCAAATACAACTAGACTCAATTTTGCGAGTAATAATTTGGGTCATAACAAACTAAAGGCATCCAAGCTAACTTTGAATGTAACAAATTGCAAAGCATAAAGCAACATTATGTATAAATTATGCATTTTAAAAATTGCGAGATATATTGAGTTTGATAATTTTTGCAACCGAGTTTTAATTAGTTGTTGTTTGAAACAAATCACTTTTTTTGGTTCAATTGATGAATTAAAAATGCATCAACTGGATTAACTTATTAATATCTGAATGTCTAAGCCCATGCTATGAAAAAGCTGTAAAATTGCCCAAAAAGTGGCACCAATATTTGCGACATAGGTTGGAAAAAAAAGAAGTTTCGTTCCAATACACTCGCTTCGCAAGTGTAATAACTAAACAAGTCTGATACAACTTCACTGTTTCTCGCTTCAACTGACTGTGGAGATTGGGAAATCTAATTGTTTTTAGGGTTTTTTAGGATTCTGTTGATGACTCACATCTATGGTGGCCTGCTGGATAATCTCTTTGACTCGCTCGGATTCCTCTTTAGTGCTTAGATTCATCGAGATAGAGGTGACCTTGATGCCCAACTTCTTAGCTGCGTCTGAACACAAACCAAAGCTAAGCTAATTTAGTCAATAGTTTTACAATTTAAAAAAATGGGGTCGTGCATAATGCCCAAGCGAGCGAAATCCATGAAAAATTTTCCATGTCCAGCGGTGAAAACTAACAAAAATGAGTTTTCCGTGCACACCTAAATCATCGGTAATTCTTCATTCTCTAAGTTATATTAGCTTTAACTGCGAATAAATAGAAGCAATTATGTGCTTTTCTTTATTAACTGTGTTCGTAGTGGATGAAACTGGCTGTACTTGACTTTTCACTAATTGTCAAAACTTGGCTCCAAAGAATCAATTTTCTTAGATTGAAAGAGACCAGAGCGCCTTTTGATTTTCTGCAACACTGACCTTCGACATAGAACCGGGGCACTTCTGGCTCCCTGGAGTAGAAGAGGGCAATGGGGGTCCTGTTGTCTGTGTGTTTGTGGATCTGGGTGTAGTCCACACTCGTAGACATGTCTGTTATCCTAAAATAGACTTCATAATAAGTCAGTGATTCAAAAAAGCTACTGCATTTCATTAAAACAAGATAAAAGTCAAACAATTTAAAATTCATTATGCAACAACACATTCGCCATAGCGAGAACAACATTCCATAGTTTTCCAAGTCTTGGTAATAATGTTGCCTGCAGAACTTTAATGTAGCAGCAATTCGTGCAACTTGTTGTATCGTTTAGTAACAGGCCCGCATCTAGAATTTTCTCGAGGAGAGGGCGAAATTGATTATCCAAGTTCTCCCAAAAAACTAAAAAGACCCCGTTTTGGGCAAAATTTCAGCGCCGCAAGCAAAATTTTGAAAAAACGCCATTTTTTAGGCACTTTCTGGAAAATGTTTACCAAAAAATTGCGTTGTTTCGGCGCGTGCTCCCCCAATAAGTTGGTTTGTAGTTTTAAACTTGGTTGCGCGATTTAACATTTCGTTCAAGTACTACTAGGGCAATTTAAAAATACCCATCATTGCTATTGAAAGTTTAAACTCGACATCCTTCTTTACAAGCCACTTATTTCAAAAAAGTCGCTTACTTTTTGCCCAACACCTGGTTTGTGAACTGTTCTGCCGCCTGCAGCACCCTATCGCCCCTCACTCCCCTAACTACCATGAATCTCTGCACGGGGGTGAATGAGTCATCCAACTTGTCCGGCAGAGCAGCCTTCTCTGGCACTTCGTTCTCACACAGTGTGCGCCACTGTGTCTCCCGCCCGTCCCGTGGCATCCGCTCGTAAGCGTCTGTGAACCAGGGGAAGTGCGTCGCCAGAATCTGAAACGACCTTTGCTAGTCAGACTTTTGATTATTTTGAACATAAAAGCGTATTTATTTTTTTCAATTATATTGTCTATCCTTTTTTTTCGAAATCTATTTTTGTCAAGGATACTAATTTCCTTCATATTTCCGAATATAATAATATCATTACTTTTTTCATAACCATATAGATGTTAAAATTTTCGAATAATTTGAACCTTTATGCGTAATTACTTTTTTTGATAATTTTGTCAATCGTTTTGTCAAAAACTGGCAGGTGTCCTAGTTATGGAAAATTAAATTTAAAAATTTAAGTTTGCCCATAAGTTTAACAACTTTTTGTCAATCTCACTTTAAAAAACCCAATATAGCACTGTAAAATTACTTCAAGAAGCACCATGTCATCAAACTACGCAATTTTGTCTTACTATTATTTACAAAATATTGAAAAAGAACAATCATTGAGCTTTCAAAAAATATATATTAAAGTCAATACTAGGAAAGGGGTGGAAAACTTTTTTAAAATTTATTGTCAAAATAAACTCACCACTAGGTGGCTGCATGTTTCGTCCTTCATCCAGTCGAATGGCTTCTTCCCACTCACCACAGCTGGCTTGTTGTCTGCAGTGGGGAACTGGGCCCTGAGTGCCTGCATGGTGGCCTGGCCGAAGGAGGGGTGGATGGTGTACTCCCTGTCTCCCACATGGACACGCCCATAGCTCTCCTCAATCTACATTCCATGCAATAAGTGATTTTGATTGAACGACTACATTAACGTGATATTGATTATCTTTAAATCAAGCAGACATTCAACATTTGTAGAAGAGTTCTCAAAAGGTCATTAAAAAAATAAAGGTGTTTGAGCCAAAAAAGGTGTTCTAAATTAGCATTACAAGAACGAGCATTTGTTTGATGACAAAGGGCCGAAACTATGATGAGTCAGTATCGTTAAGAGAGCTGAATGATCTTAAGCCCCCAAAAAATCTTAAAATCTGAACAATTTGACTACTATTCAAAACAGAATATTTTCTTTTTCAGTCTCGCTTGGATTAAATTTGAAAGGTAACGTTCGAACAATTCAAATATTTCGATTTTTTTTGGTCATTTTAAGTATCATACTAACGAGGAATGCGAGTATGAGGGAGTAAAGGAATCTGTCCTTGTCCTCGAGGGATCGGATGGTGCACTGGTAGATGGTAGCAGTGAGCTTCTCATTCACAATACGAATGGAAGACCTGAACAACACATCAACACTCAATTCAGCAAATCAAAGATTAAACACCTCACAATCAATTTCTATCTGAAGCACTATTTTAAATAAGCTCTGTAGTTCGAACGAGTTGATTCTAAGTAGATCGAAAATATCGGTTTTATTTAAGTCTAACAGTTAAAATCAAAATATAAAGCAAGAACTGGTTATATTTTGTTGGTTCCAGATAGAAAGAGCCACTAAAACAATTTGGGCATCTTTCAGATTGTCTCATAATTTTTCAAATATCATTGGTACAAAACAATCAAAGATTTGGAACTAAGAAATAAAATGGTTCAATATAGGTGCCTCGTACTTGAACTAATTGATTGTTAACTTGTCATCTAATTAACAAATCAGGTGCGTAAAACATAAATCAGTGAGTAGTTGTAGTTTAAAGCTACATAACGTGCAGCTAACCCCTGTTCCTGTCGATCACTAGAGGTTAAATGAAACAAAAACATTCAAATATTAACAATGTCGCACGCAGGATATGAAATGAGGTCAATTTATTATGATAACACCAAAATGATCACCAATAGAGTAATATTTGGATACCTCAAACAGAAACACAGGGATTTAGTGGGACAGGGATTTAAGCAGGTCCCAGAAGCAGTGAATTAATGGGACCTGGCCCGACGCCGTACTCTCAGGGATTCCACCCCTTGGTTAACTAGAGGTATATTTTATGTCATCCATTTTTGGTAGACTAACCCTTAAGTTTTTAGGGAGAGAGATTCCTATTTGATCAATTTGATCGACATTTAAATAAAAATGGTCAACCAAAATTTTCGACATTCTCTCGAGACATTTAAAAATCCGCCCTGTTCTCACCAGAAAAGTTTAGATCCTCCCCTGATATCAAGTAAATGACGGTTAAGTGATGGAGATTGACATAAAACGTACGCTTCCGTGGCACATTGTTGCTGCAAGTCGCTAAAATTTATCCAATTTCTTTATTATGAAGCAGAATGACAATTTAGCATAATGATGTGTTTTTGGTGTGCTACCTTCGCTAGCCATTCGCTACATTCGGACAACGTTATGCCTTTCTAAGGGGAGACCATTTGAAGAAGAAAAAGCCATCAGAAGAAAAAGGAAAGCAAACTTCAATTTTTCCCGCCCAAAAATCTGATACTTTTTATCGACTCAAATTGAGATCATGTATTTCCTTTTAGAATTTTATTTTGGTGGTGGGAGAGATAACTTAAAATGAGAAGTGGATTGTGTGCTCACTTGTCGGCCTGTTTGATGCAGTGTTCGAAGAGGGAGAAGAGGTACTTGTGGGAGACCATGTATCTGCTGTCTATCCTGGCCATCGCATGGCTCCCCTCGAACATCACTGCCCCCCTCACCGCCACCTCCCTGTAGCTCTCTCTGGTGGTGATGATGTCTATCAGCTTCTTCACCGAGCGACGCATGCTGAACAGACATTAAAACGGCCTTGAGTTTACGAATTGAAAAGCCAACATACCAGCTGATGGTTCAGTATGTACGATTTAATTTTGTTTAATTTATTGGGGCAGATAAAATTTAGATTGCGACAAGTTAAACTTTGAAATAAAAAACTTTTGTTTCCTCGAAAATTCGCAATTATTTCAAATTGTTAAAACTTTTCGCAGTACTTTTATTTTATCGTTTATTGAATTCAACTTAACTCGGGGACAAAAAACTTCAAATGACTTCGATGCTCACTTGTCTTTGGTTTCACTGTACTGTTTTCTGAGCAGCTGTAGGGCCTTGGTCCTGTTGGCCGCCCCACAAGCCTTACTCCCTTTGCTAAGACTCTTCAGCAACTTACTCTCCAACTTCTCCAGTTTCTCGCCATATGCCAACTTGTCCTGAAACACAATTCAGATGAAACACAGCTAAATTAGCTGCAGAAGACAAAGTAAACTTATTAACAAGTGAAGAAAAGGTGACACTGTTAAAACTAAAGTATTAACATGTCTTATTATTTGTTCAAGGATTCCACAAACAGTTCTGAATTCCGCAAATACTGTTGCCGATTCCGCATATTTTTGGAGCGATTTTGAGCGGTACAGTTTTTTGGATAGGCCTAAGAAATAAGACAATAAGCAAACTAGACGAATGCTACAAAAACGAAACTAGATGATTTTTTTTTTACAGATCTGGCATTTTAGACGTCGCTGCTATGAAAACGAAAGGGCCAACAAAATTTTTTCTCAAAAGTCAAGTTTGACAAATACAAAAAGAACACAAAATGACAAGACTTATCAAATAAAATTATTTTAAATGAAGATAAAACGTCAAATCCAAATATTACAGGAGAGTTTTGAATTGAGTAAATTATGCAAAATTGACAAGTAAAATTTACGTTAGTTTTTTTTTTTTACAAATTTCGGCAAATAACGCCTATATTGTTCCAATAAATGTCCAAACTGATAATATTCTCCGCATAACAGTTTTTCAACCGCTGGATTTTGGCATTCAGCAAATACCACTTTTTTTCTGTGGAGGTGGAAGTTCACCTTTCGAAATTTTGGAGTATACATTTTTTGTGATTTTTTCCTGTTTTTCAACTCTTCCACAACTACCCATATAGATGGGTGGTTTCTTCCATTTTTTCTGTTTCAGAAAGCATGCCATGACTCGCAGGCGTTTGTTATTTGAAGATTTTGTGGTCTATCATAAACTTTCCACATAAAAACTCCAGTTTTTTGGATCCAAGTTTTTTCGACAAAATCTTCAATTTTTGGGAAGAAAAGTTTCGTGGCATAAAGCAGATTGTTTTGAATAGTCAAAATTTGTAATCACGTGGTCAATTGGCAACAATCCTAGCCTAAAAATTTTGCGACAAATTAACTGAAATGGACGATTATTCCTGTAGGCAAAAATAGGACGAAAAATTTAAATTTTTCGGAAAACTGCTTGAGTATAATGAAACTAAGAGCTCAAATGATCGATTTGTGAGCCCAAACAACGGACAAAAAGATTTGACACTTTTCGTCAATTTTTGCAACAAATTTTGGTAAACTTTTGTTAAGTTTTTTTTGGTTATCAGAGCCCAAAGTGACGGAAATTTTCGATCTTGCATTCCACTGAATATTATGTAAATTTGACGAAACGGTTTCGATGCAGTCTTGAAAGTTCCGTCACACAAAATCTTGATTGTCGCTCGTTTTACTCCACATACTATTTTCATATTCTGTAAAATTCTCAAAATTTTTGGCGAAAATTGATTTCGTTTTTTTTTAGTATTTCGCTGCTAATTTTGTGATACTCCGGTGAATTTGCGATTTCCGAATTCAATTTAACTTGCTCGTCGTGAATCATTTTCACCGGTTTTGTCGGATCATTTCGGATTTCGGTCAGAATTTTTTGGCGAAAAACTTCTTCGTCGTTGTACATAAGGTCGGATTTGTGACTGTTGTTGCCTGATTTTCGATAAATTTTTGTAATTTCTAAATTTGTCATTAATCTTCCGAAGCAATTGGAGATATCACAGCAATAATGACAATCAATTTTGATTTTGTTACCTTTTTTAAATCTATAACCTTCATCGGTAATACGATTTTGTCCATCTCGATATTTCGATAGAACAATATTGAAATTTTGGCTACCGAAATTTAACTGTTTTCTGCAAACAGTATTATTTTTCTCACCCAATTTGTCTGCAAACAATTTTAATCTCTCTCACTTTCGTCTCTTTTCTCACAATTGCAGTTTTACAAAATCGTCTAATTTGCTTTTAAGTGCTTCCGTCTAATTTGCTTATCGTCTAATTTCTCAACCCTCATTTTAGATACTTGTTTGCACACGCGCCGAGCGCCCATGGATCATAATCGATTATATTGTCATAATATGGTCAGTATCTAAAAAATTTACAAAAAATCGAATTATAATCAAAACATTTTGTGTGTCAAAATAATCCATTATAGTCAATTATAATCCATTGAAAATGAATTATAATCTTTTTATTTTTAATGCTTCAATGCTAAAATAATCTATTATAATCGACTAAAATGGATTTTTTCGAGACGTTATTCATGAAATTTACAACTTTCTTCAAAGTTATCTCATTTCCTGTTCAGTGCAGTTGCTACGTACGTTTCATAAAAATTTTACTTATCACATTAAATTTTATAGGTTTGTTTTGTTTTATATATTCTGATTGAACCCCCCCCCCCCGCCCAGTTTACTTAACAAACCCACCTCCGTTTTCTTTACTTTACCCCCCTCCCCCAAGCTGCTAGCAGTTTACTACTTTACCACCCCCTTCCCCCAGTTTACTTTTTACCTCCCTTTACCCCCCCTCCCCCAGTTTACTTTCCCCCAGTTTATTTTACTCCCCCTGCCAGTATACCACAACTGCCATTCACTCCCCCATATAGTTAAACCTGGGGTGGTGGTGGGGGGCACGTGGGGGCGGTTGTTATTTATGGGTTGATTTTGGGAAGGGGTTAATGATAGACACCCCAAGTTGGGGGAGGTAAAAAACTGAGGGGGTTTCGTTGAGACATGGCGTTTAGAAAAAGGCATAGCATATTTTTTGCAAATTTCCTGCAAAATTTGCAAAGTTTCTGCAAAACTAATCGAATTTATTTCTAAAAACAAAATGGATTATAATCGATTATAATAGGTTATAATGGATTTTCATTTCAAAAATAATCGATTGTAACTTGGCAAAAATAATCGATTCAGTGCCAAAAAAATGGATTATAATGGATTATTTCTTTTTCAAAAAACATCGATTATAATGGCAACATAATCAATTTCGTGGTCTGAATTTTACATCTGTAATAAATTATAATGGATTGTTTTTATCTCGGGAATCCATTATAATTGATTAAAATCTATGTGCGCTCGGTGCGGCAAGAATCCAAAACAACAAAACAGATCAAAGAAAAGTAGCAATGTTGCGGATTCCAGTTACAGTTTGAGGATTCCGCTTACAATTGCGGAATCCACAACAGCTCAATTTAACTATGCACATGTCTTAATATTTGTTTGGGGATTACACACACTGTTCTGGATTCCGCAAATACGTAGAATCCAAAACAGCAAAGAAGATCAAAGAAAAGTAGCAATGTTGCGGATTCCGCGACAAACCTGTGATTTTGGCCTGTTGTGGAATCCGTTTACAATGCACAGAATGCTCAGTTCGCAATGTCTCAAGCCGGAATTTTTGTCTCATTGAGTTTTAATCATTAAACCCTAGCATAAATAGATAAAAATTGTTCGAAGAGCATCAAAAGGTTCCTAGAAGGACCAGGCTATTCGTTTGTGAAGTATTTAGCCAACTATATAGAATTTCAAATGGTACCTTCTGTAGTGATATTCTCTCGTTCTGTATACGTGGCTTCTCCAGTGCCAGGAATCTATCCAGCATCTGCTCCATTAAGTCATCCCTGCTTTGGTCCAGTCTCAACACAGTAGTGATGGCTGCCAGTTCTGCCCGGATGTACTGAGGTTCCAGGGACGTGTGCAGGTACAGTCGGAATCCAGGGTCTATCTCCACTTCCTCATTTGCAACCTGCAAAAGTAGTCACACCAGAGAATCAACCTTAAAAATTATCTTAATGATTCTGGCTAGACAAACTGAAGCCTAATAAACAAAAACTTAGCACCGCAATAAATTTGAACGTTTTTTAAATTTCTGATATGATTTGAAAATATTGTCAAAAAAGGAAAAAAAAGATTTAAAAAAATGGATAGACGCTTGCTGTGCATGTAACACCAGAATATTCCTACTTCTACCACATTTATCATAAAAAATTCAAGGAGCTAGTTAATAGCAGGTTAACTTAAGTTTGAAAAAATTACTGATATAATTGCAGAGCGACCACACTAATCTGAGATCTGAACAGTTCTTAATACCAAATATATTGGGAAAACATACATTGGGAAAACTTTGTTTAGAAGAATCTGTTTCAAAAGGCGGGAGTCACGACTGAAAGAGCTTTAATACCACACCAACTATGACCCCTCCGAGGTTTTTCAGACATATAAGAAATTGCGTGAAGACTCCCCGCCATAGTTCCATCCCATCAATTTGTGAAACAATCGGAACAAAAATGGATTTACTATTGGAAATTTGAGGCTCATTTGTGGTTCAATTTCTGCTTCAATGAGCATTTTTACAAGAATGTTGCGTGATTGCAAGTGCAATCGACTGTTCATACCCACCTTCATTTTGACACTTTCGTCTGAAGTGAGGAAGAACATTCTCTTCTGCATGACCACTCGGAAGCTCTCATCTGCCAAGAGGGCGTCCGGGTTGACATCAGTGACCAGCAGAGTGGACCCATTCATCAGGGCATGGAACAACTCCATCTTCATCTCCTATAAATGATACAAACACAAAAGATAGATGACGTCATAGTCACAATGTGAGTTCTGGTTTCGACAAACGAAAGGATGAAAAGCGGTTTTATACAAATAAAAAAATAGATAAGGCAGCAATTCGTAGCTTATTCAAAAGTGAATTCATTTCCAAACACCTCATCATAGCAAATTGAAACTATAAAATATCTTGATAATCGGTGCTCTTTTACCGAATAGCCATGCGTTCGTTGGTGACGGATTTGAAAAAGATTCGACCCTCAACTATTACCATATAATCATAATGTTTTTCCAGGGATATTATAATGTTGACTAATTTAAACATCTATAGTTTTTTTCCGCATAAAAATCTCTGAGGGCCATTAGGGTATAATCTAGTCTGGTTTCAGGTGTCTCAAAAATGGTTAATAACCAGTTTTAGTCAATAACTATAAAATAGTATGTAACTAAATCTTACATCATGAGACACGACTACTACGTTGTCTGGGTCGTTGATCACTGTCTGGATCCACTGGACTGCATATCCTGTTGGATCTGAGAGGAGCAGCCATCTTTCATTGGAGGGTTCTTTCTGCAGAGCAACGGCTAGATTGTCGGCAGTGCTTCTGGTCAACAAAACTCCTTTGTTCTCTTCTCTTTGCAGTCCATTCTGGAAAACAGAACACTCATGATAACAGTGATAGCCTGCTGCTGTGCACGTAGCACATCAGAACGTTCCGACCACACTTATTTATACAGAAGCGAAGGTGAACTTCACAAACACGGGCAATAAAAAGTAGCTCTAAAAAGGCAAAAACAAAATGGAATGAGGAAAAACGATAAGATAAAAATCAGCCTTGAAAAATCAAACTTTTGCTTTGTTCCGTAATAAGACCTTCGAACTAGAGATTAGGAGTCTCATGTGCTCGCATCTGCTCCCATGAAAACAACCTGACACTAGCTAGCAATTAATCAACTACACTTGCTATTGGATTGCAAATGCCAAGCAGCAAAAAGTCCACCAAATAAAAATTAAAACTATTTTTATGTTCCGGATTTGAATCTCCGACCTGTAGATTAGAGTCTCCCGTCCTCGCATCTGCGACACGAACGCTTGGAAGTAAGCCTACACTAGCCACCAATAAAGCAGCAACAGATGCTTTTAAGTTGCCTATGGTTGGAAATATTCCAAAAAGCTACCAAATGGGTACTTTTAATTGCAATTTAGGCTAAAAAAAAACTTTTTTCTTTGTAAAATTAAACGTGTGCAAATAAGTTCAACTTGTGCAAATAAAAGAAATTCAAAAAAAAATTTCAAAAATTGTCTTTGAGAGATTGAATCAATTACAAAAACACTAAATTGAATGTTCAGAACTAATGCTACGTATTTAAATAAAAAATATTCTAACCGTAGAAAAGAAGCTTCAAATAGCTGGAATCATTTTTCGATTATAAAAGTTAACAATTTTTTTTAAATGCAGAGAAGTCTTAAATATTTTATAAGTTTTTCGTACTTCTTTTATTTTCCACCTTTTTTTTAAAATTTTTGTTAAGTTTTTATCTTTTGCGTGCTAATACCTGCATTGCATAAACTCGCGAGCAAAGAAAGCAGCCGGTCGTGTTTTTTTAAAAATTATTTGCTAAATTTTAAGAAATGGGAAAATTTTTAACTTCCTACTGACCTCATCTAACAGAAACGATAGCGGGGTCATCTCCATGTCATTTTCGTCCAGACTGAACACGGAGCTGGCTGCCCTGGATTCCTGTCTAGACTTGCTCTGCGTCAATTGTTCGTTCTGGTTCAAAGCGGCACCAATCGTCAGCGTCGACTGATTATGTAACAAATCCAGATTGGCGTGACTGGCCGACAATGACGGTGGTTTTGAAGCGGTTCGGCTATCGTCTTTCGTGGCGTCGCCCGCAGCTCTTCCTACTCCTGATTTGAATCCTGGAGATTGAGGAGAGGCCAGTGTTATGTCAGGTGGCGCTCCTATATTGGAACCGGCGGATGATTGACGACTCACGCGCTTTTTGCCTCCTGAAAAGAAAATATAGTTGATTCAGGTTCTATTATCTTCGTGTTCAAATTACAGCATATTAATGCTTAATACTTTGTTGAAGAGAATAATAAAACCGAAAGCCCAATTAATTGTATGAAAAACATTTCGGTCATGTTGTCCGGGCTGAGGAGCTGGACTCATGATTCCACCGAATCGAACGAAAACTTCAGTCGATTAAATTCAAAATAGGCTCGGAGCAATATTATTTGCGATATAAAAACCAAAAAAAAACTTTCTGAACTCTTTAATTATTAATAGCTCCCATAATTATATTTTTGCACAACAGTGTTGTATGTTAAAAAACATACAGCGCTTTTTGAGAAAAAATGTTTTATTTAAATCTTCAGGTTTTGTGAGTAACTAGTAATCAATAGTTATTAACCTCCAGGCGAAACAGCAGCAACAGAGTTACGCAAGTTGTGCTGTCGGATCAAACTGGCGAACAACTTATTGCTCGGTTCTGGCATCTGGTTCTGTTCAGCTATCTCCGCCAATCTGCGACACACCATGTTCCTGTGATCGAGATTGAGGGGTCCGCAGTAGGTGAGAAATGCTGCTACCAAAACTGAGTTGGTGAGGATCTGGTCTTGCGAGTGCTTATTCACCTCTGTTTCCCAGCTACCTTCTATCTCTCCCAAACTAAAAAGATTCATCGAAATAAATATCATAATGGACTTCACTTTGCCACAAATTAATTTATGATTAAAACTACCGTTACGAGCATCAACACAGAAGCTAATTTGAATATCGCCTGCACAATCAAAGAAAAAGCAATGTATTTTACAAAAGAATCTGTATCAGATAATAAAAGAAAAGAAAGCTTCGGGAAGAACAAGTATATTTGTGCACCTACTCAACCACATTGCAGATTTTTCTGCAAAAAAATAAATGAAAAATGACAAATACAGAAAACGACACAACGCTGTTTCCAGAGCACTTTCTTTTTCTTGGGATCGTGCTTCTTCAACATATACGACAACACTTAAAATTATGGATCAGCACAACAATCTTTGTCAAAGCAGCATTTTAGCCAGAGCATGGTGGAACAGCGGAAGCCTGATACGCCCATCAACCAGAGGCAAAACTAAGCGAAAAACGGAACGAATCATACTCTGACACAATAAACTTTATAAGAACAAAAATAAGTTTTGCACTTCTTCTGATTTTTGCAGGGGGTGCAAAAATCAAAAATACATCCAACATAGACAATTCTATCTGTGCTACAATCGAGGAGGGTAGATTTTAATTGACAACTCTCTTGATGCATTAAAACTGACTTGATTTATTCATAAAATTTCGCCGATGTATTTATATAGCGTTGGCACGGCCCTATCCAACCTGTGCATGTACCGTCGCATGACGGAAGGGCCCATTTTATTTTATCAACCAGAGGCAGGTAGATCGAAACTACCTGCTGCTAGTTTAGTGAAGTAACATCTAACCTTTTGACATATGCAGCTTTCGCAAGACACTTGATAAAAAAATTAGCTACAACAATGGAGCTTCCAATAGGTATAAAAGTTATATTCGTCCACCTACTAACCCATTTGCAAATTTTTGTTCGAAAAGTTTTTAAAATTAACAAACAAAGAAATTGGCGAAACGCTAGTTCCCGAACAATATATATTACTTGGCTTTGTGGTTCTCCACCTTTGCGACAACATATTAAACTATGGATCAGCAAAACTAAATTCACAACGGCATTTTATTATCAGTAGCAAGGTGGAGCAGCGGAAGCGTGCTGGGCCCATAAATCAGAGGTCGTCAGATCGTAACAACCTCCTGCTAGATTAGCGAAATTGCAGCTTTCTGACAATTGCAGCTTTCTCAGGACACTCGATACAAATAGCTCTATCACCGGAGCTTTACATAGCTATTAAAGTTATATTCGTGCACCTACTCAATAACGTTCTGCAAAAAAAAAAGATTTTAAAAATGACAAGTACAGAAAACGACACAACGCTGTTTCCAGAGCAATTTGTTTTTCGTGCGATCGTGATTCTTCAACCTATACGACAATAACTTGAATTATGGATCGGCACAAACATCTTTGCAATAACAGCAAAATAGCCAGAGTAGGGTGGCACAGTGGAAAAGTGCTGAGCCCATACCCAAGAGGTCGGTAGATCGAAACTGCCTCCTTCTAGTTTGGTGAAGTAACATAATAAATTTTGACAATTGTAGCTTTCGCAAGAATATCGATAGAGATAGCTCTATCAGCGGAACTTTAAGTGGCTATATAAACTTTAATATTGCACCTACTCAACCACAATGCTGATTTTTGTGCTAAATTTTTTTTAAAACTGACAAAAACAGAGAACGCCGAAACACTGTTTCCAGAGCATTTTCTATTGACAAATGCAGCTTTCGCAAGACACTCGATTACAAAACAGCTAGTACAATGGAGTTGTATATAGCTATAATAATTATAATCGTGCACCAACTCACCCACATGAAAAATAATAAATAATAAACAAATACAGAAAAAGACGAAAAGCTGTTTCCAGAGCATTTTCTAATACTTGGGATTGTGGTACTCCACCTTTACGAAAAGGAAAACATCTTAAGTTATGGATCAGCAAAATCCAAAATCGCAATGGTAATATACTGGCAACAGCAGAGTGACGCAGCGGAAGCGTGCTGGGTCGAAAACCCAGAGGGCGGTAGATCAAAACTACCTCCTGCTAAATTAGTAGGGTAACATATATATTTTTGACAGTTGCAGCTTTCGCAGGACACTTGGCAAAAAACCCTATATCAGCGAAGCTTTAATTAGCTATAAAATTATGTTCGAGCACCAACTCAACAGCGTTGAAGATTTTTCCACAAAAAAATTTTAAAATTGACAAATGCAGAAAACGACAAAACGTTGTTTCCAGAGCACTTTCTTTTTCTTGGGATCGTGGTTCTTCAACCTATACGTTTTACACTACGGACCAGCACAACAATATATGCAACAGCAGCATTGTAGCAAGGGCAGGTTGGCACATGGGAAGCGTGATACGACCATCACCAGAGCCCTAGATCGAAACTACATCCTGCTAGTTTATTGAAGTATCATCTAACCTATTGACAAATGCAGCTTTCGCAAGAAACTCGATTACAAATAGCTAGACCAATGGAGCTTTACATAGCCATAAAAATTATATTCGTGCACCAACTCACCCACACTGAAAAACTTTGTGCGAAAAACTTTCCAAAATTAACAAATACAGAAAAGGACGAAACGCTGTTTCCAGAGCATTTTCTAGTACTTGAGATTGTGGTACTCCACCTTTATGAAAAGGAAAGCATCCTAAATTATGGATCAGCAAAACCAAAGTCGCAATGGCAATACATTGGCAACAGCAAAGCGGCGCAGCGGAAGCGTGATGGGACCATAACCCAGAGGGCGGTAGATCGAAACTACTCCCTGCTAGTTTAGTAAAGTAACATAGAGTGTTGACAGTTGCAGCTTTCGCAGAGCACTCGATAATAAAGCTATATCACCGGAGCCTTAAATAGCTTTAAAATCATATTCGTGCACCTACTCAACCACGTTGCAGACGTTTCTGCAAACAAAAACGTCAATACCGACAAATACGAAAAACGCTGTTTGCAGAGCACTTTCTTTTACTTCAGATCGTGTTTCTTCAACCTATACATTAACACTTTAAATTATGATCAGCAGCAATCTTAGCAATAGCACAAAAATAGCCAGAGAAGCGTGGCGCAGCGGAAGCGTGATGCGACCCCCTGACCTAGAAGCCGTAGATCGAAAATACCTCCTGCTAGTTTACTTGATAACATCTAAGACACTCGATTGAAAAATAGCTAGACCAATGGAGCTTTCAGTAGCTATAAAACTATATTCGTGCACCTACTCAGCCACATTGAAAAATTTTGTGCGAAAATTTTTTCAAAATTAACAAATACAGAAAACGACTGATTGCATTTTCCAGACCATTTTCTTGGGATTGTGGTACTCAACCATTATGGAAACATCATAAATTATAGATCAGCAAAATCAAAATTGCAATCGAAACTACCTCCTTTGCAGATTTTTCTGCAAAAATTATTCCAAACGACAAATACAGAAAACGAGAAAACGCTGTTTCCAGAGCACTTTCTTTTAATTCGGATCGTGTTTCTTCAACCTGTACGTTTTTACAATCTGTACGTTTTTACAATCAGCAACAATCTTTGCAATAGCACATTATTAGCAACAGCAGCGTGGCGCAGCGGGAGCGTGATGCGAGCCCCCTCACTCAGAAGCCGTAGATCAAAACCATCTCCTGTTAACTTTCTGAAGTAACATCTATCCTTTTGACGAACGCAGCTTTCGCAAGACACTCGATTGAAAAATAGCTAGACCAATGGCGCGTTAAGTAGCTAGAAAACTTAGATTCGTGCAACTACTCACCCACATTGAAAAATTTTGTGCGAAAAACTTTTTAAGAAAAACAATTACAGAAAACGGCTAAACGCTGTTTCCAGAGCGTTTTCTAATACTTGGATTGTGATAATCCACCCTTATGGAAACATCTTAAATTTTGGATCAGCAAAACCAAAATTGCAATGGCAAACAATCACAACAGCAAGGTGGCGCAGCGGAAGGTGGCGCTGGGCCCATAACCCAGAGATCGGTAGATCGAAACTACCTCCTGCTAGTTAAGTAAAAGTTTATATAAATTTTTGACAATTGCATCTTTCACAAGACGATCGATTTAAAAATAGATAGACCAATGGAGCATTAAGTAGCTAGAAAACTTAGGTTCGTGCACCTACTCACCCACTATGAAAATATTTGTGCGAAAAACTTTTTAAAATAAAGAATTACAGAAAACGGCTAATCGCTGTTTCCAGAGCATTTTCTAATACTTGGGTTGTGATAATCCACCTTTATGGAAACATCTTAAATTTTGGATCAGCAAAACCAAACTCGCAATGGCAAATTATTAATAACAGCAGGATGGCGCAGCGGAAGCGTGCTGGGCCCATAACCCAGAGGTCGGTAGATCGAAACTACCTCCTGCTACTTTAGTAAAAGATAATATAACTTTTTGACAATTGCATCTTTTACAAGACACTCAATTTAAAAATAGCTAGACCAATGGAGCTTCAAGTAGCTAGAAAACTTAGGTTCGTGCACCTACTCACCCACTATGAAAATATTTGTGCGAAAAACTTTTTAAAATAAACAATTACAAAAAACGGCTTTTTCCAGAGCCTTTTCTAATACTTGGATTGTGATAATCCACCCTTATGGAAACACCTTAAATTTTGGATCAGCAAAACCAAAATCGCAATGGCAAATTATTCATTACAGCAGGATGGCGCAGCGGAAGCGTGCTGGGCCCATAACCAAGAGATCGGTAGATCGAAACTACCTCCTGCTAGTTAAGTAAAAGATTATATAATTTTTTGACAATCGCATCTTTCACAAGACACTCGACTTAAAAATAGCTAGACCAATGGAGCTTTAAGTAGTTATAAAAATTGTATTAGTGCACCTACTCAAACACGTTGCAGCTTTTCTGCAAAAAAAATTCAAAGTGACAAATACAGAAAACGACAAAACGCTGTTTCCAGAGCACTTTCTTTTAATTCGTATCGTGTTTCTTCAACCTATACGTTAACATTTCAAATTATGATGAGCA